GGGGGGGGGGGGGGGGGGAATCCGCAGAGCGCGTGGTATCAGCTGGGCAGACGAACATACCCGTCTACAAACCAAAAGGAGTGGTTGGGGAAGGGGTGCGTACGTGATGCTGCTACTCTCCGTGGTGCACGGCCCGGTGGTGGACGGCCCCACAGCTGTGGACTTGCCGCAGGCGTAGCAAGCACGCACATCTACCACCCGTCGACGATCGACAGAGAGAGCGCTAGCCGAACCCAAACACGGCCGCCCCCGGTTTACCGGCACAAAAAACCATACCAAGTGAATGCTTTCTCCTCCCTCACCTTTACCGGAGACGGGAAGTCGAAGAGTCGGCGGCAGACGTTCTCCCTTCTCAACCGTAGCAGTAGGGACCCCACCGTATTTCCCACGACGGGGCCCCCGTCCGCCGGGAGGGCCCCAGGCCCAAGCACGGTCTCTGAGCCCGACACACAGGCCAGCCACCTGCGGAGTCGTCCGTCGACAGACCACCGGAGAACGAGAGAGAGGGTGGTAGTGGCGGCGGGATACAAGAGACGTAGGCTATCATGCTTTCGCGTAAGGTACATGTACCACGTGTACGTACGTACGTCACAGGGATAACGCCCCGGCGGCGCGGACCTAACCCTTCGCTTAGGGCGGGATTTCAGCAGCAGCAGCAGCAGCAGCAGCAGCAGCAGCAGCAGCAGCAGCAGCAGCAGCGCAAGTTGTCGCGCTGTGGGGCGTGCGGACGGACCGTGTACGTCAACATCGCACGGTGATGCTCTTAACCCATCAAACGAAGTGCACAAAAACCAACAACAGAGGTCACACCAAACCCAAGCCACCACCAAGAGACACAAAAAAATACACAGCAACACACCGTTCCTCTCAGTCGCGTACCCCCATCCATCCCTGCAGGGAGGCCCGCGGAATATCAATCGTGTTTATGCGTTTCATTGCCGCACAAGTAAGGATCGCGATTTTCACACGCCAGCCGGTTATATGTAGCACGGTCGATGCCAACCAAAGCAACCCACATAGACATCCGTCCCCGAACACATTAGATCTACGCAATGCCCCAACATACGAGCGGTAAACTCTTTACAAAGGCAGGGTCCACACGACCGTAAAAAAACAAAAATGCGTCCAACGCGCGCGCGCCGCGGCTCACCTCCGCGCGGCGTCCAGCAGCCCGGGCTCCGCTAGCAACGCCTCCGCGGAAGTTGGAAAGCCGAAGAAGCGGCAAAGGGGAGAGAACGCATCGTCCGCGCTGGGAAGCAAACCCAACCGCCCCGAGCCGTTGTTCGCGACCTTCTCCTCCAATCCATCCGACCCTCCTGCGGTTCCCGACGCTTCCTCCGGATCCAGCGACGACGACGACGGCGGCTGCATGCAGATGTGAACCATCAGCAGAGCCGTGCGCAAGAAAACGGTCACGTGGGGGCCCGCCACCCTTACGTACCGGTCACCGCCGCTCGCGCCGCTCGCGCCGCCGCCGCCGCCGCCGCTGCCGCTGCTGCACTCCGTCGTCGACGCCGGCATCTTCCCGACACCACCACTACCAGCTGCTGCTGCTGCTGCTGCTGCTGCTGCTGCTGCGCCATTGTCGCCACCGCCACCGCCGCCGCTCCTGTCACCGACAGAGAACCTTCGAACGCTTTCGGCAGCCGCGCGTCTCCCGCCCGGGAGCAGGGGCGCCGAGCCGCCGCCGCCGCCGCCGCCGCCACCGCTGTTGCTGCTGACATCGCCACCGTCGCTCTCACAAGGAGGAGGGCCACGACGGCCGAACGGGACCATCGCGCCGCCACCGCCGCCACGATGCGGAGCCGCTGAATCTGCATCTGCGGTTAACGCTGCTGCTGCTGTTGCTGCTGCTGCTGGAGCTCCTGCGGCGATGCCCCCTGTTTTCAAGCGTCCGGCAACACTGCCGCCATTCGTGCGGGAAGGGGTCCAAAAGAAGTGCGAGTGAGTAAGTATCGACGATCTTATCGGAACACATGATTTGATTTCAAGCAATAGAACGGTGCTGTGTTGAAGCGAGGCAAGCCCAATGCGCCACACCCTGCGGAGGGGCATCGGGGACAAAGACCCCGCACGAAAAAATGAAACACAAGCACCACCACGCAGCACGCACTCGCAGCCACAACACACAAGACAGCCACCACGCATACAACCTCTGGAGGTGATTGCTAAACGACCAGGATTGGTGATCGCCGTCTAATAATCAACACGTACGAACGTGCCTAGTCTACTGAGAGAGAGAGAGAGAGAGAGAGAGAGGGAGAGGGATAGAGAGGGATAGAGAGGGAGTTGCGCCGTGCGCCTGTGTGTTGTCAGCCAATGGAAAATGAAAACAAGTTATTCCCCCCGGCGGGGCGAAACACAACCCCGCTCGTGTTATCCTGCCCCGCCGCAAAAACCGACATCACGAATTTCCGCCTAAACAAGAAACACACAATACTTCACACGTCGGATAGATCACGATCTAGATGATCTGTGGTTTCTAGATCAAGGTTTGGACGTATCATAGATGATCTACGGAGTATAGATCAAGAGCACGCAGGTATCACAGATGATCTATGGCTTATAGATCAAGAGCGGCAGATATGTTCGGATCAATCTGTGTCTATAGATCAACATTCGGAAATATCACAGATGATCTATGGGTTATAGATCAAGAGTCGGAAATATCACAGATGATCTATGGGTTATAGATCAACATTCGGAAATATCACAAATGATCTATGGGTTATAGATCAAGAGTCGGAAATATCACAGATGATCTATGGGTTATAGATCAAGAGTCGGAAATCTCACAGATGATCCATGGATTGTAGATCAAGAGCGACAAACACGTTCGAATCTACATGTACATATCCGACCTACGGATCAACACCAACACTCGAGAATGTCACAGATAATCTGTGGTCCTGTGGCCTACATTTAAGAGCTAAAACATACATGTTGTTGCTGTCTTCACATGCAAAACTGTTCCGTTCTCTGTACCCAGTACGTACCTTCTTCTGTCCGTACTAGTCAAACACTCACGACAACAGTTGATGCGGTCGATTCCCGTGGTCTTAGGGTCACTTTTACCCTAAAAAGGTACACGACAGATAGTCTTATACTGGCGCGTGTAGACAAAAGCAGATTCCGCCGGTACCTTCAAAAACGTCAATACAAAAATACGAACGATTACACTACAGCAGTAGCTAATGTGAGAAACAACAACAACAAAAGTAGCACACACAAGAGAGGCGACAACCATGAATCTGACCAACACGAAAACAAGAACTGAAGTGTGGGGGAGCTCTCTCGAGAAGCTGACATAGCACATGCCACGCAGCACGAAAGACCACCCGCATGATCTGTGGTCGACAGATGATGTAGACTAGAGTGGCAAATATCATCGATGGCCTAAAGATNTATAGATCAAGAATCGGGAATATCACAGATGATCTATGGGTTATAGATCAAGAGTCGGAAATATCACAGATGATCTATGGGTTATAGATCAAGAGTCAAAAACATGTACATATCGATCTGTAGCTATAGATTTTGGTGATCTGCGACCGAAATGATCCATAGCGATCCATAGCGATCTGATCTGTCCTATGTGTGCAATACTTACATGGACCCTCGGTCTTCCTCTGCAACTCTTGCCGCTGCTGCTGCTGCTGCCGCAGCTGCCGCCGGCTTCTCTTCTCCTCCTCCTCCTCCTCGCCCACAGTGGGTGTCCAAGAACAGCGCTTCCGCAACCGCGTCCCCCCTCCCGTGGTCTTGGTCCTGGAACCAGAAAGCAGCAAGCACCTGGAGAACCCGCACGAGGCATAGAGCACTGAACAAGGGATGGGGGCCGGCGGGGGTAGGCAGGGGGGGGGGACGGACTCAGCGAGTGAAATGAGGACGTCGGCATGGAGAACTCGCTCGCGAGGCTTGAGAAGATCGGGGCAGTGGACACGGAGGGAAGAGAGTCAGTGAGTGGAGACGGAATAACTTAACCACAGGAGAAAAAGAAGAGAGAGAGAGAAAAAAAAAACGTGCACCGTCACAGGCATGCACGGAGAAGGTACGGCCAAAATCGGACACAACGATGCCATCCAACAAGAGGGGGCGGCAATTTGCACCAGTCTCTGACCTGCACACACGGCCGTAGCGGCAGGGGGTAGCCCCAAGAGAACTGCACTACAGCTGTGTGCCCACGAGAATGTAAGTTGTGGCGAGGCGCTAAATGTATTGCCTTGGAACAACCTGACCCCAAGAAACAAAGGCGAGGTTTTTATTGCTGGTTGTCTTTGGAGGATATTGCTGTAGTTGCGGATTCGGCGGCAGAACCACGTGCAGGCTAGGCTGCCAAGCCGAAAGCGAAACTTGTGTGTAGTCTGGCGACACTTGGTGAAGGCGGTGCATGATTCGTGGAATGACAGCAACATCTGCCGCATGCTAAGTGAAGTGGTGGTACGCAGCAGCTCTCACAGATAAAAGAACAAACAGACCACGGCTACAATACATACGCTTACATGTTTTCGCACTTATGTAGAATCATTCTCACGAGAGGAGGACCCTACGAAGGCCACCCTTATAGTCGTGCACCTCATCACCATCTGGACGTACGCACGTGTTCAATACCCCTAACGTACACGCGTAATACTTTGCTGCTTAGCCTAGGCGCTCACCCCACGCATTGCATCGCCCCCTGGGTGTCCCCCGCCGGGAGCACGACCAGAGCCGCCCCAAGCGTCTCCATCGCCCCCGCCAACAGCAACGGCCTGTCCAATTGCTCTGCGAGTAACTTTTTCTGCTGCATCCGCCGCGCCACCTCCGCTCGCAGCGCGGTCAGCTCGGTGTCCGAGACCTCAGCTATCGCGGCGGCCATGTCGGCGGGGCAGGGATCAACGCCGCCGACCGCAGCACCAGCGGCGTCCTCTCCTCCTCCTCCTCCTCCTCCTCCTCCTCCTCCTCCTGCTTCGCCGCTCGTATCGCCTGGTGTTGTCCCCGTCGCCGTCCCGTCCGCTGCTCCGGCACCAGTGCCGCTGAGGCCGTCACGATCAGCCGCGGAGGTGCCAGCAAGAGACCCTGCAAGCTTCCGACGGACCTGCCACACAAGAAACACAGCGAGGGAGCGAGGGGTCGGTGGGGGGAAAATTCATTGGCGTACAAAAGCATAACCTAGACGCACAGAATGCTCACGGCCACCAAGAGACCCCCGCTCTCCAGGTGTTCATCACACACACACACCCAGGACGGGTATGTGCTTGTGCGACTGCGCCCGTCGCGTCAACACCAACACTATTTGGCTGAACTGAAGGGATGAAAACGGAGATAAATCTCATTCCAACCGTCGCGTTTTCGCTCATCAGACCACTACCGCGGTCGATGCCAAAGACAAAACACACGCACCTCGAATCACCACCCACTTACAGCAGCGGTATCACACGAAACGTTTCTACAATCGCAAAACGTGTTTCCTGAAACCAAGCGCATGCTTTGTCGCCTAGAGGAAAGAGGTGCGTGCGTGTGTGTGTGTTTACTTACGAGCGTCGACCGCGCCAACCCCCGCGTGTGTGTGTGTGTGTGTGTGTGCACATCAACAGCACAGCAGAGGTACTCACCGTCTCCTCCAGCCCCGCCTGCCCGGCAGCCCTCCTAAGCACACCCGCGACCAGCCGGAGACACCGGAGACGCGTGGCATCCCCGTGATCAATCGCCGTCGCCGCCGCGCCCCTTGTTCCCGAACCCGCCGCCGCCGCCGCCACCGCCGTCGCGTAGCCCCGCAAGGAGTCTATGGGAGACGCCGTGGTGGCGGCTGAGCTCACGGAGTACGCCAGGGCTCGACAGGCACTCAGGAACAGGGCCTCCGGGGTAACCGACGGGAGCACCGGTGTCACGCCGGTCTCCACTTCGTACACCGACTGACGCGAAACGGGTTGAGAGAGGGGAAGGAGGCATAGGCAATCATTTTCGATTCGTCTTCTCATCGAGAATATGTACAAGGAAATGAACTTATCCTACGCCAATCACATAGTGGTAGAAAACAGGATGGGGGGGGGGTTGTTACGTCAATAGTGAACGAGTAGTAGAAAGTGCGCTCCTCCTAGGGCAGCTAAAGAACGATCCGCAAGACATGAGAGGAGCTTCCCGTGAAATGGGCCAAGCGAGAACGGTGTGTCCTGCTCCAACTTCGTGCAGCAACCAAAGGTCCGAATAGACGGGGGTCCGTCTCGCGACATCATGTCCGCTTCGTCTTTATCGTCTATAAAACCCCGATACACCTGGAAACGCCGCGGTTATCTATCGCTTCCACACGAAACACAACGACTAGCGGAAGCTTACAGCAACAGCGGTAGGAGTAGGTGCGCAACCGGGGTGGGGTGTTAACAGCAGCAGCAGCACAACCAGCGGAGGGTAGCGACTTCTGGCCTCGCATGTCTCCCCCCCCCCTCCCGCTACGCAACCTAAAGCATACTCCTGCGCAACGGCCGGCGGCCGACGGCACACCCGCACCTCCAGGAACTTCCTTGTGGCCGAGTCAAACAGCTGCTGCTGTGCCGATAATTCATCGCCACCATCCTCGCCGCCGCCATCGATCCCGCCGCCGCCGCCGCCGCCGCCGTCTTCGTTGTCTTCGCTGGAGTCTGCGTTCCCGGCCATGACCATGTACACGAACCCCGATCCCGTCCGGTCCATCGCCGCCGCCGTCTTTGACGCCGATTGGGTGGCCGCCGCCGCTGCCGCCGCCGCCGACTGCCGGGCGGCGAACATCGAGGGCCGTGCCGTCATTAAGGAGAGCGCGGCTTTCCTGTCCAGCCAGCCGACATCATCATCACCATCACCGCCGGCGTCGCTCGACTTTCGTGTGAGACGAGCGGGGAACCGCCCGCACAAACAAAAAAAACGTCGAGAAAAAGAAGGTACATGGATACATACGGCGCGCAGAAAAGGGAAGCAGCGATTTGATTGGTGAGGGACAGCGGGGGTCACGAACGAGGGTGACGAATCGATTGATTGCCAGGACGTCGACGTTGGCAAAAAGATGGCCGGCCGCCACAAACCGTGAGAGGAGAGGAGGGGAAGGGAGTTGCTTGCTTGGTACTGCTGCTGCTGCTGCCGCCGCCTAGTGCTGATCACTGTAGTGGCGTCCAAAAGGAAGAAAAAACACCCAGCGGTGCCAACCAAGGCGACGGAGAAACTCGACACACCGGACAAAAGGGACCGAACCATTCCAGCAAAAAACCTGAGCCTGACCC